TGTTTGGTGCATTAAGACATCGGACAAGCTTGGATCGCAGCCAGCAAGATCTGTGTGGAGCTGTGTGGAGCTTATATAGAAAAAACCTTTATTGAAACCACTACTAAACCACCTTACTTTCGGATACGTATAAGAGGTTAAATCTTGTTGTATTTCTTTTACAACAATGTAAATTATTAGCTTTGAAGAAAGTTTTTTCATGCAAACCCTTGAAGAAGACAAGAAAGTAATGTAATACGATTATCTTTTGACAAATGTAATTGCAATAGGTCTGTCGAAAAATTGACGAGGGTGCTTATCCGTGATTCCTAAAAAATTCGATATCAGTGATTACATGTCGGTAACATGCACAACCTACACGCCTGTCACTGTACGGCTTAACCGGTCATTTATTACTCTTTTGTATCGCATTTGGTTTGCTGGATCAACGTAACTGAATGCATTCACAAGATGATATTTCCTAGGTGATGTCATGGTTGCTGCACAATACCGTATTTGAAAGTGCATGCCATCTTCTACTGTTGTGTTCAGTGGAAACAACCATAGGCCCCAACCGAAAACCTAAACTTAAACTTGCGGATTAGAGGCTCACATGGTTTTCGTAACCTGCTGAAAATTGTTCCGTCTTCCCATATTGTAGTCAGCTTTGAAATCAAATCTGAAAGGTATCAAGTGAGGCTCTAATCCTCCTAAAAGCTTGCAGCATACTTCAAGTTAGCGGGCTTTGCTTGTTCGCAGGTGGTTTCGTTGATAGATAATAAACCAAAATGAAAAATAACCATTTCGCCCAATGGATAGTAACTAAACAATGCTAAGATGTTACAATTACTCGAAAATGACAAGAATACCCGAAAACGCCGTATGTTCCAAGAACAAGAATGACTTGCCCCAAAGGAATGGCATCTTCGAGGAAGTTTTTGTTTAAGACATATCGTACAAAACATTCTAGTGATGTTACCACAAACCTGGAATTATCAAATAGCTTCCAACGCAAAAGATCATCCCTCTCCCCCTCTATAGCTCG